TGCAGTGGTCAATTAGCATAATTAAGAGGAAAATAACCTGTGGGGAAAGAATGTCACACCAGTTCACCATGGGTTAAGTAATTGTGCCATAGATGAATGGCATTAGATCCCACTGAAGTAAGCCACAAAACCTCTGTTGGTTTCATCATTGCAGTTTTTGCCAGTCTTCATCAAAGCCAAAAAGAGAAGCAGTGCTCTGGATGCTTACATGAAAAAAAAAATCAAATTCTTCCCTTAATACAAAAAAAACTTATTCTGGCCATGGCATCCTGCTTGATGACTTGCTTGTATACTGATAACATAAAACCTAAACATTCTCTGGTTGGAAAAAAATACTTCTTTTTAATTGAAGGATTAAATCACTAATCACAGGCTATTAAATCACTAATTTCAGATATTAAATTATGTCACATCCTAAACAAAGTAAGTAGCACCAAGGTTATATTAAGAAAATAAGGTGTCAAAAAGGCGGCTTGGGGAAAGAGTTGTGAAAAAAAACAGTAAGCCATATCAGCGTGATGATAAAGGTAAGATTTTCAGTCACACACAAGACAGCAGATTCAGTGTTAGCCTTAATTCTGTGCCTCTGCATCTATACGTCATTAGAGTTCCTCAATATATCTTTTATAGTCTTTAAGCTCTTTTGACACCCTCGGAAGAACAGACTGGTTGAATGCATTTCTTTCACTGTATCTCTCAGCCATGACAATATTCTTCCCTGGCTCATCTTTTATCTGCAAATGGGTTTGCTTCTCATAATGCTGGGAAAAAATTGTCTGCCTGAATTAGAGCAATTTCTTTCTGTGGTGCTCATCACAGAATTTATTACAGCAAGCTATAAAGTAAACAGGATTTTCTTATCCCTCCTTTCACATGTGGGAAACTTTTTTTTTGCGAGTGACCACCTTAAATTAACTCAGCCTGAGCACCAATAGTTCTGAAAGAGTTTCTGCAGGTTTCAGTTTGTTTACTGTGGCATAAAGACTACCCTGGAAGAGGAGGATTCAAACTCTCATTTAAATCTTATTTTATTTCAAGGCTGACAGAGTATTATGGCTTTTACCTAGTATCAAGCCATGTCTCTGAACTAGCAATTAGGAGGTGAAAATCTCTTTACATCCTGATTGGTATCTTAGTGCCAGTCAAGCTGTTTTTAACAAAAATCTTAATAGTCAAGTGTGTGGCAAACAGTTGATTTTTTGTTGTTGTTGTTAGCTGTGCCAGTCTGCATAGCTGCATGTTTTTCTTGAATTTACAGCTTCTGTCAGTCCAATACTTTTAAGAGGCAGTTTAGCTGATTTAGGAGGTGAATCAGTAGATTAATGGACTACGCTGATCTTACTTTAAACAGCTAATTTTCAATATCCTTTGGGCTATTTGAGACACGCAGGAAAAGTGCTGCTGGTCTGATCTGATTACATTTTGTTGTAGTCTCCAGTGATTGACTATTTAGTAGATTTGAATTGGGACAAAAAGCGTTTTGTTTTCAGACTGTCAGTTCATATGGATTTCAATTTAGTAAAAGCTGGGACTGATTTACCATCTTTATGTGATGTCTCCCTGAAGTTTGATGGGCGGAGTCCAGGTGGCTAAAAATTAAAAAATAAGAAATTAAAAATACCGAGACAGTAGAGTGAAAGAGGTTGACTTCATCTGAGAGGCTTCATCTGAGAGCAGAACTAGCTGCTTGCCTAAATTCAGAAGGACTGTCAGTTTGATCTTATTCTCAGCACTAGGATTAATTAAAAATTTTTAATTAAAAAAATAATTAATTTTTTTTTAATTACAAAAAATAATCCTAGTGCTGAGAATAAGACCAAACTGACAGTCCTTCTGAATTTAGGCAAGCAGCTAGTTCTGCTATGTATGTGTCTTTGGCCTATGTAAATGTAGTAATTTATTCTGTATTATTGTAAGAATTTTCGTCTCAGTCACCAAGCAAAAAGGTTGGGTTTTGATTAGTTACATGTGAGGTTGTGTTGTGGCTTAAACCCACCCGACAACTAAACACCACCCAGCCGCTTGCTTGCTCCCCCAGACGAGGGAGAGAACCAGAAGAGTAGAAGTAAGAAAACTGGTGGATTAAGATAGAGAGAGTTTAATAGGTAAAGGAAAAGCTGTGCGTGCAAGCAAAGCAAAACAAGAAATTCAGTCACTGCTTCCCATGGTCATGCAGGTGCTTAGCCATCACCAGGAGAGCAGGGCTGCGTTATGCAAACGGTGACTTGGGAAGAGAAACGCCATCTCTCCGAGTGTTGCCTGCCCCCTTCCCCCTTCTTCCCTCAGCTTTATGTGCTGAGCACGACATCAGATGCTATGGGATATCCCTCCGGTCAGTTGGGCTCTGCTGTCCCAGCTGTGTCCCCTCCCAACTCCTTGTGCACCCCCAGCCTATTTTTCGTGGGGTGGGGTGAGGAGCAGGAAAGGCCTTGGTGCTGGGTAAGCACTGCTCAGCAACAAACTAAAACATCTCTCTGTTATCAGCACTGTTTCCAGCACAAATCCAAACCATAGCCCTGTACCTGCTACTGTGAAGAAAATTAACTCTATCCCAGCCAAAACCAGCACGGGTAGGTACGTGTGAAAACAGCTATAATGGAGAAAAGCACTGCAGAACAGATTTTTGGGTCCCATTTCACTGATGATAGTCCTTCTTACACTTAACGTCATGCAACGGCAGTCCTCTATTCTTTCAAAACTTGATCAGTTTAGAAAATTGAATTGTCTGATCATGGTGCCTTCTGATAACTGAGCAGATACCTGTCCTGTAAACTACTAATTTTCACAGATCCTGTTGTGTGCCAGTAATTCTTCTTGAATTGCAGCAAGGTATCAAACTCGAAATACAGTCTGTGAATTCATTAGAATCTTAAATTCTTTATATTTTAATTGTCAAAAATTAACTCTGCCAATAGATCTCAGCTGAGACATGAAAAATGACAATACCATTTACTGTATGTAACCTAGGATTGTTTTATTCTATCATGATACCACAGTGTTTTCCAGGTACCTTTATGTTTCGGTTGAAAACTGCCAACTGGAAACTGTACCGGTTTCTTTAGACTGTACAGTTTTGAAATATTTCTTGTTGTGGACAAACATCCTTGCTGAAAAGCCTTTGCCAACTTTCTGGGGCAGATTAATTTGTACTTTTGGTAAAGATCTCCAGTATGCCTGTCTCTTTTGCTAGACTTCTTTATGTAGCCTATCTTTAGATACTACAAGATTTGTTGTATGTATTTTAAATGTTGATTCTAGTTCAGATTTTGGGAGCTGAGCACCCTTGGGAATAGTTTAGATGCTCAGAGCTGTATGGTACCTTCGTGTTTAATAAAATCAGCATACTTCCCTTCTATTAAATCACAAGGTTATTTTCAGTGCAGTTTCCTTGAAGCTTCCATTGGAATCAGATGTTAAATTCTGAATTTGCAATCAGAGTGGATAGTCACTGCTGCATGGGATGATGGGTCCCTTCCCTCCTTCTCCCTCCTTCCGTGTCAGCTCAGATCCCTTCCAGTTGAAGTGAAGTACTAGCTAATCAGAAGATGTATAGTGAAGACAATTCTTCAGAAAGATCCACGCCAACTCCGCTGTATAAAAAATTCAGTTGCTCCTACCTTGTGAAAGTCTGCTGTGTTTGGGCATGTGTTCTCATATATCTTGTGTTGAAAGTTGCCTAATTCCTTTTGATATCTGACTAATCTCATTGCAATTTCCTCAACTGCAGAAGTGGCGGAAAACTTTTACATAACATGAACTAATAGCAGCGGGGCCTGTTCTGTTAGAGCTGCTGAATTATTCTGCGACTGTTATTCAAGTCCCTCAGCATTTGCTGTTTATGTAGATGATTGATGGCAGGCAAATTAGACTACAGGCTCAGGGCCGGGTTAAGTGTTTTCTGGTGTATTTTTACAGCATTTGCTGAGATGAAACCCTGATCCCCAATCAGGGGTTTAAATCCTGCTGCAGTACATATTGTTAATGGTATGCAGTATTGCCCTTTCCAGGAGCATGTCGAGTAGCCCTGTTTCTGGCAGGGGTGCAGATTGCCGCCTCAGTCTCCTCTTGGCAGAGTCCTGTCGTGTCTGATGTGCCATTCCAGGCTGCGGGCTGGTATGTGAGACCTGAGGTCTGTGTCTGCTGGGAAGGGACTTTGATGTATATGTGTCCCCCACCCCCAGCAGGTCTGTGAGGATACGGGGTAGGTTTGCCTTCTTCAACTGCAGCACTTGGTAGGTGAGGTGAAGAGGGTGCCCACTCTTCGTTTTTGTGCGCCTCAGGCTCATTAAACACTGTAGTCATTGGTACTTCTGAGCAAGGAAGCTAGCAACAGGCAAAGAGGTGAATAAAATCAAGATAGTTTTAAGTATCTGACCATTCAACCTGTTAGCATATCTCATGTATGACTTAGTGCAAGACCTGTCTGTGATGGTTGGGTGCCATGAGAAACTAGGCAGCAAACATGGCGTGTCTCACTCAAGTTAAACCCACATGCATTGAAGGGGATTGCACTGTCGCTGTCTTTGTGCTAGATTGTTCTTCTCCAGTGTGCTTTGTATCTGTGCTGACAGGATACTTCAGGTCACTAATTGCTAGTCTGTTTGAGCTGTACCAGTGCTTTGTACTACTGCTACTTGAGCACATGGCAGACTTGCAGGTGAAGAGTAGATTTGGAAAAGAAAGTGAGAGATGAACAAAAAAGTGAATGCAAAGTATCTTCGGTCATGTTCAGATGCTGTAGTGCGTCCTGTCCAACATGTTATTTATCTGTTGATAAGCAGCTGCAGCAATGCCCACCCTTGTCATTTATGTAGCTATTTGGATAATTCCCAATTTTTTTTTCCCATGTCGTTGAACTTCTCTTGCAGGGTAGTTGAAAGTTTATCAACTCAATAGTGGTACTGAGTTTCTTGTGCAAAAAGAAAACAATTTAGAGTAATATGTACTTTAAATCATGGGACTGTCAAGGTGACACTGTTATTTTTCCCATTTATCTGCAGAAGCTGGACAAGTCTGACTTGGATAACTGGGAGAACATCAGAGGACCCAGTCTGTGGGAAGATTCCAGGACTGTTCAGAGACAACGACGGGAGGCTCTACGTCTCAAGACCGAGTGACTGAGCAAGCCTAGTTTGGTGCCTCTGCAAAAAAAAAAAAAAATCTCAGGCTGGACTGTCTTGTTTTTTAATCCAGTGTCAGGAACAGATATGGGAGGAGGGGATTGCCGTGAGCACTTCATGCTGGTGCATATATATATAAAACTGTGAGATCAGTTCAAAAGGCACTGTATTATATGAAGCTCTTTGTTTGCATCCATTTGCACAGAGTTCCACAGGCTGTATATATGAATTCTCAATTAAAAAAATGACTGATTATTCTACTGAGAATATCCCGTTGTTTTTCAATCCCTGTCGTTCAAAAGTGACATGCTTCAGCAAGGAGTTACATTTCAGAAGTCACTTGTCACTGCCAGAAGTTGTTGTCCTAATGAGAACAACGGTGCTGTCATCTAGATGTGTGTGACCAGATAAATGCTGCTTCAGGGAGCCCCTGCGTGACTTCAGGCTCTTAAGCTTGGAAGGGACTCCAGGGGCCATTCGGAACAGTGAGTCCATTTTTGGCTAAATAATGTTCTTGTGTTTCATTTCCAGGAACTTGACAGAGGCATATACAGTGTCAGCTGGTAATCGATCAAATAACATTTGTTCAGCTGTGGTTAGACTTTTCTGATTAGTTTATCAATACCTTTGTGCAGGCAGGACCTTTGCACTGGAACTTCTCAGTTTAAGCTAGAAGAATTCTTCCCTCATCAAGAGCTGTGGTGTTTCCCTGTGAGCAAGTATTGTAGCAGAATCTTCTCAAACGACTATAGCGTGGCAAAGCTCATCTTACATGTATCATTACATGTATATTTGTGCGTGTGCATGGAAATTTTTCATCTTTTGAAGAATTCTGACATGCTTGTCTTTTTATATTTCTGTACTATATGTCTGCTGTTAGAAGAAACCATGCTAACGTTCAGGACCCTTGTGCTGAGACAGTTCAGTGAAGCAGCATCTAGTCCAATTCTTCAAATTAAATGAAGCTTTTGGGAAGGTGTCACAACAGACTTATAAAACTCCTCTTTGGTGGAATTGAATAGAAGAGCACAGATCAGCAACAGCAGATTCTAGTTTCAAGGTATTTGGTGACACCTAAATGTAAATCCTTTTGGAACTGTCTTTGGAAGAGGTGTGGTCTTATTTGCATTTGAAATGCTGTGCAAGATGTGTCAAATGCATCTAAAATTCCTTTTGGACACTGTTTAAGGTGGCCTCCTTGTTCTCATTTTAAATCTTCCCTTAGCACTTAATTTTCTTCAGTCTTTCAGTGGTGAGGACCAGCCTTTCTCTCAGAAAGAAAAATCAGCATGGATTTTTAGAGAGTTGTAAAGGAATTCATAAAGCATTAGATGAAATATCTTAGTTATGTTTTGTATGTGTTTTCTTCAGACAGAGTCACAAAGATCATCAGAAAGTGTTCCATGTTATCTGGAACAGGGTTGGAGCTGTCTGTTTGTATGTTTCGCTGTTCAATATCATATATATCTTTGATTATAAATAAATGTACTAACAAATAAAACCATCCAGGAGCGGAACAAGAGGAGCAATAGAAGAGTGAGGTGATCATAAATGCTGTAGGAAACAACTGAAAGACTAAAATATGGAGGCATTAAGCTTTGCTAGACCTACACAAGAAGAAAGTTGGTTTAATTGTTTTGTCATTAGTTTTACCTAAAAGATAAAAGAATATTTTTAGGCAAATAAGATATAAAATAGGACAAATAAGGAGTAATTAAAACTGCATACCTTGCTAAACATTTTTTCAACTCTTAAATTCAGATCCAGGTGCAGTTCCACTGACAGCAGCAAGATTGATTGCTCATCATTGATGCATTGGCTGCTCTGACTGGGTTAGAGCTTCTACATCCTCATTGTTACTGTTAAGGTACCAGCTGGACTACTGGAAATGTTTCTTTACATTCTCTCATATAGACCCATCTTGTGTGGCCTCTGCAAATTCACTGTGTCTTTTCCAGAGGCTACACATCGTCCTTTCCCCAGCCTTGATTGAAGAGGAGGGGAAGTTGCTGTTGCTTTGCATATGCAGGGATATGATCACCTCCCAGTCCTGCAACTCTGGCTCACAAACTGGACCAACACAACCCCTGGGGTAAACATGCGGTGTTCTGCGAACATCGTGCATAGGAAAAGCTAACCCTTGCCCCAGGGGAAAAGCAAACCTATTCCTCTGTCATGAAGCTCTTGGGCTTATCAGTTTTCTTGATGAACAAAATGCCATTTGGGGCATGGTTGTCTTATTTCAGCAGGTCTGGAATCCAGTTGTAAATAATTACTTCTCTGGAGAACTTTTATTATAACTTAGGACCCAGTTTTAGTCAGTTGGTTGCTGGTTGTGGGGTCTCCCCACTCCTCTCTTTCACAGGCACTAGATTTCCTGCAGTTTCTGAGGGCGTGTTTGTAACTACCTTTCCAGTGGCATGTCTGGAAAGTGATGGATTTATCTTAGCATCTCTGAGAAACCTTGACATCCATTTGGAAAACTTTCCAACTTGCCCTTCTCTTCAACTTCCCTTTTAAGAGACATCCCATATCTATTGACAGTCCACCAAAAAAATTTCCACTTTACCTTTTTTTTTTTTTTTTTAGGCCTGTTGACTCTTTTATGAATTAAACCTTTTTTTTTTTTTTTTTAGGCCTGTTGACTCATTTATGAATTAAAAAGAACAGCAACAATAACTTTTGGCGGGTACAGAATCTGTCCTTTACATAAAATGGGGAGAGCCATTTCAGCGGTTTCTCTTTAGTGCCCTGCACTTGGACAGCGACTTCATGTTTTATGCTGTCCTTTCCTTAGCCATTGCATTAGAAGTAGTACTTAGGAAAGGCGTGTTGAGAGTCAAGTAAAGTCTTTTAAGTTGTCATGCATCCTAAAAAGTAGAAAGCACTCCAGAAATGTGGAGAATTATAGTTCTCAACACAAACAAGAGAAACAAACAATTGCTTCAGGACTCATGCTTCATTTGGGTGCTTGTTTGAACTGCCCTTTTGAGAGGGCATGTTACAGCACTTTTGGTTTGCTCTAAGGCACCTGGGGACAGCCTTGTTGAATTCCTGAATTGTTATTCTAAACATCTGTGGCTGGGAGGAGGGGCCAGAGGTAATTAAATGCAGATGTCAGCCTGATTGACACTTTTGCATCCTCTTTGGTAACAAGCATATACCGATTTCAGGGGATGAGAATAAGCCTTTAGTGAGAGATGTTGAAGGGGTAGAAGAGAGGACTGAAGAATCCAGATATTTCTGGTCAGTGTTGCTGAAATTAGAAATAAAAGAAGGAAGTCTGGCTAGATGTCTCTGTGTGTGTGAATGAAAAATGAGTTCTGAAATCCCTGTTTAGACAATAAAGTTTCTTTTCTCGAAGAAGCTCTGATGAGGTTGGTCTCTGGGATCTTCCATAAAAGCAGTAGGACATAGAAGTGAAGAGAATCTGGGGCACCTGTCTCCAGGGACAGGGATTGCTCGTTGGAGCACTCGTGGGTATAACCAGATCTTTGTATGAGATTGGCCCTGTGGATCGTGCTTGTTGAGTGTGTTTGTCCTCTAGTGCTTCGAATTTGCAGACTCATAGATGACCCAAAAGAGAAAAGGTTCGGTATCTTAGTTCAGCTGCAACACAGATGGAGAGGCTTAGTGAAAGCTGTAGCTGCTGTGATCCAGAAAAAGGTTTCAAAACCTGCTCAATAGCATAGCAGCTGAATTTCAAAGCTCCTAAATACATCTGGAGGAGCAGCTAGGTGTTAAAAACTTTTACGATCAAAATGCAGAGAACAGTCTTGCCAATAATCATCTTCCAAAGTCTTGAAAATGGCCCCAGTGACCTAAAAAAGGTAGTTTATGGCATAGTAAGCGATAGGTGATGGACATTTTAGACCGAAATGTAAAATGCAGAAACTTCTGAAAAACAACTTAAACATACCCCATCATCTGCTGGGGAGCATACCAAAAAGCAGAGAGAGAAATCCATTTCTTCACCAAGAGACGGCAGCTTTGAGTGATGTAAAGGTCACTGTTCTTGGGTGTTTTACATGGACACGTTTTGTGTACGTGCATGTGTATAGGTGAAACGTAAACCAGTAGGTTTCACCTTCTGAAATAACTACATAGAACCTTGTTATAAATTGAGGGAATAAAACCCAGGAGCCAATTTAGAATTTAAGTGATTAATAAAATTTATTAAATTTAGCAAGCGGCTGAGTAAGCAAAACAGCGCTGGGCAGCGGGGAGCAGCTCTCACCAGGAGTGCTCATACCACAGCTGCACCCGTGCACGGGCAGATACCTTGGTTATATGCAAAGAAAATTACATATTCATTAGATGCTGGTCGGCTGCTCCTCCTCTTGACACCTGCGCAGTGCCTCCTGGTGGTCTTGGGCAGGGGTCTTCAGGTACGAAGGCAGTAGGTCTTCCTCACGATAAACTTTTACCTTGGTTCAAAAACTAGTTGCTCGCAGCACATTTCGTAAGATATCTTTGTCCTCGAATTCCACAGGGGCCTTTCATCACCAGATGGTCCTTTATCACTAGGTTCTTGTCAATTATTTTTTGTTTTTATATACTCTTACAGTGCGTCCATCCTGCTAGTCTTTGTTCTTTTGCAGCTGGTGCTAGACAGCTCCCCCTGTGTACAAGCCTGACCTTGGTGCTGGGGAAGATTATGTTTGCTTAGCAGGATATTATAGCCTAAACAACTTCATTTCTAGCACAGCATAAAATTTGATGAACAAATTCTATATGCCTTCTATAACAAACCTTATACTTGATACTATTGCATTTGCTCTGAGTCGCTACGTTTGAATTTCCAGCACAAGTCCAGAGCAAGTTTCATTTTTGTGTCTTGTATTTTTCAGAGGCTTTTTGCTCTGCAATAAATGGGAAAGCTTAATATTATCCTTTGCTTCTAACTACTTTACATCCCCTGAAAGAGAAAGAAAAAAACAATAAAGGAACAAAGAAAGGAGTGATCTGAACTCTTAGAGAAAGCAGAATAAGTATTT